AAACGCTTTAAGCTAGTTAAATAAAAGTCAGGTGACGGTTCGTCACACTTAGTCTCTCAGGTCCCGCCGAGTAAACTTCTCTCCAGTTCTTTCTTAGAAGCATTCTCTAATTCTCTCCGAAGGCCTAAGAAGAGACCATCAGTGTAGCCGACACAAGTCCCGACGACGGTTTAAAACTCCTTTCTAGAAGTTTGTGCTAGCCGAAGGACGGCGCCCATGTTAATTTATATCCGTTAAATACAATGCCTTTGAAATTATATTATGCTACATTCACTGACGCGCCCCGAATTGCCGAAATCTATATGGCTGCATTCGGATCGAATGCTTTGTTATGCGCACAGTTTCCTACACCGGCCGTTCGCGCTGCGCTCCAGGTCGCTATCGAGTAGAAAGCCTTAGCTGATATTCGTGACCCGAAGACTAGTGTGCTTGTTATTCGAGATCTAAGGGAGAAGGATGAGGGAGGCGTCAGTATGCAAGAGGACGAGGTAAACGGCAAAGTGATCAGCTTTTCGAAATGGGGCCATCCAGTTCACGAGGGCGAAGATAACACTGAGCCCATGTGGGTTTGGCCTGAGGGGTCAAACATTAAGCTTTTGGACGAATGGGCCCACAAGACAGATGTTGCATATAAGGTTGCGTTGGGACAGACGCCGTGTTATCGTAAGTCTTTCAAGACGCCGGCATTCCTTTGAACATCCACTTGTCTAAGTATAGGAAGAAGAGAGTGTTGACAATTTCTTATATTTCTTCGCTGGTAGCTGCCTGACTCTTTCTCTTTGTATCTACCATTACGAGATAAAACTACTTACACTGCACTCAGGTCTTAGCTTCCTTGGCACAGATCCCCTATACGAAAGGCGAGGTGCAGCATCGTTAATGCTTCAATGGGGCATTAATCAATGCAAGAAAGACAATGCTTTGGCGTACTTGGAAAGTACTGTTGAGACAAGACCACTATACGAGAAAAATGGATTTGTACGAGTAGAAGCACTGTCTACGTCTATAAATGGATTGTTGGGAGATGGGTCATCGATGTTTTATAAGGAGATTTGTTTTCTTTTTCAGGCACCATTCTAAAGTACTACACTACTTTCTCCCAACCCTTTTTCAGCACCATCTAGCCGAAATCAACACGTGAAGCTTAAAACAAACAATAAAAGAAAACAATCGAGTGGATTCTAGATCAACAAAAGACCGTTCTCGAGCGTGCTCCCTAACACCAAGCATAATGCTCGTTGTTGATCCATTGTGGCGCCTTGGTCAACTCGCCGTCTTCATCATACTAGATGCCACTAGCGATGCTGTCTTCTTCTCTTTCAACCATTGAGTACTCAATCCCGCTCAGATGTATCATCTCTTGGACTGCTGGTGTTGGATGCCATAATTTCACCTGGTCGAGCTTCCATAGCGCGGCCTCGTTCTGAGCTGCTACAAGAACGGCTTGTAAGTGGCTGACTTGCTGGCGGTAGCCAGGATTCTTCTCCCTGTCTGGGAGATGAATATCTTCCCATTCGCTATTTTCGACCACAAGTCGTAGAATGTAAAGAGTATTGTCGTCCGTTTTGGCGTCAGGATTTGCGTAATAGCGATGAGTCCATATTGCCCAAACTTGAGTACCTAGTAGTCCTGCAATGGCTCCTTTTGCATAAGGAACCTTTCCAAAGAGTATTTTGCACGCAAAGTCCTCTTTTCCAATGTGCCAAAGCATATGATCTAGATCTAGCATAATTGTCAAACGCGTCTTAGATTTTTCTGCTAGAGCTGCCATAGCCCTCCTAATCATTGACTCGTCTTTCTCGCAGAGCCTTGGCAAATCGCCTACTGGAATGTGTTTGGTCGTAAGATTATTCGAAGTCTTGGGCGGGAACACTACGTGAGTGTTTGTGAGACTTGGGTTCCATCCAAAAGCAGCATAGTATGACTTGCTAATGTCGGAATAGAGTATGCTTCCAACACATCGATTCTGCTCTAACTACCAAGTTAGAAGGACCTTAGCTAGTTCTCTCATCATGCGTAGTGCGTAGCCTCGGCCGCGATAGTCAGGACAGCAAAAGACACTCGCAATTCCATGCACAATAGTATCACTAACATTTCCAGCTCTATCGCTAGTCAATGCGCGCTTCCGAAAACTTTCATAGGAGCACAAAATTGGCCTTTAGTCCGAAGCCAAATTCTTGTCAACCAAAACCCAAGTCGTCATTCCACCTTCCTTTGCTAATAGCACAGTCGTCAAAAAGAGCGACTCTTTGAGATAAGTCGAGATATTAAGCGAGTCTTTCCAAGAAGCTAAGGTATTTGTCCAGATAGTAACGCATTCTCCAGCTATTGAGTGGCTAAGACAGAGCTCCAGAGAATTTGAACCTGGGAGATGAGAAGCATAGGACTTGGCATTCAAGCCGTTTGACTAGGGAATGGCCATGAAGATGGTTATTGAGAGATAACTCTCCCTGTGGAAGTGTTGTGTTGTATTGTCTTATCTTGTGTTGCGTTGTGTTGTCTTGTGTTATGTTGTGTTGTGTTATGTTGTGTTATTACAGTCCAAAGTTTGCTTCGAAATCTTTGTGCGACTTCATAGTCACACAACACAACAAGGCTACAATACCAGGAATACGTGTCGCTTTCATGATAATCTATCCATTTGCACCAAACACTATTACAATCCTACCTTGCAATTTTAGATAGTGCGGTTACTCCAAAAATATTCACCTCTTCCGAGCAAGCGTCATAGAGTGTACTCAAAGTCATTTTTCTTCATTCCTCTAACTACTGTTACCATCCAATTAGTATTGTAGTCTTTTGCATATCAATAGCGACAGTGACTATTATCTGAATTTGTCCAGATAGACCCAGTATCAATTATTAGCCTACTATCATCATTGACCAGCCTCATTCAGTCTACTCATTCAATCATCAAAGCGATTCGAACCTTGAAAAATAGCGCCAAAGAACTAGATAACCTTTTGGGCAGTGTATCTGTATTTTCAGAAGCTCTCAAAGGCTTTGATCGTGTCTTGCGAAGTCGCCAAACAATACATTATATTTTTGAAGAGATCATAACCACTATGCTCGTCGAAACTGTAGAGACTATTGCAAACCTGGAGAAGAATTTGGGGCAGGTATCAAGCTCCGAAATACAAGCTATTCGTCGAATGAAATGGGTTCAATCCAAATCTAGTTTTATGAGACTTCATGGAAAACTCAAAGAGCAGAATGCCATGCTTCAGACTTTTCTTATGCTCTCCCAGGCGTAAGTTTCTTTTTGCTAATTTATAAGATATGATCTAATAACTATTCAACAGACAAACATTCTTTTCTATGATGAAACAAAATCCAGATTTATTACTCCCCATCGAAGAGGATCTCTAGTCTCCATATTATTCCACGCGACGACGCTTTGCTCTAGACTCAACAACAAACACTAAGTTTACTACATTCTCCCTGGAGGGACTGTCATTGGTCGATTCAAGATCATCTGATGGCGGCTCTATCCCTTCTATGTCTTCACTTCGACGTTCTTCTGACGGCGTCGAAGGTAAAATATTTTTCTCAACCAGCCTCGAGACACCCACCGCAAAAAAGACCTCGCCACAACCTCCCGTGGAATCTCTCACTGCTCCTAACGAACATGGGGACAAAAGTCCGTGCGTTCAGGCTGTAGAACCTCGAAATTAAAACTCTTCACATTAGGACTAAACTATCAACAACTCCACCATTATGGATCCTTTTACCACTCCACCTATGTCTCCACGTCTCCCAGGTGCAGAGATCAGAACCAAGCACAAAGAGGGCATACACCGGCTCTTCAAATTCGCTAAAATAGGCCTGCAACAGCTCCAGGGCTACTACCACCTAGGAGACAGCACAGTTAGGAAGATCCTACTATACGATGTGCCTGAAAGAGCGCGCCCTACACGCACAGGGAGACCCAGAGAATCCCTCAATGAACA